TACACTTTCAAGATTTGAATTCCACTACAGCACATTCGGTGCAATCAACCTCACTTCTTTTTCACAAGACTGGGTGAACACTGACCCAAACCCAACCCTCATGTCTTTCCAAACCTGTAAGACCGTCTTGACATAACTGTAAATTTGTCTCTCAAATCTGATTGGTTGTTTGAAATGTTGTTCCAGGTATTTGTGTTCTGTATTTGTGTTCATCTTCGGAACACAAATACAGATTTTTGATGAAATATGCAGAGAGCTTTTTGTCCCTCCAGTGAAAGCTATACCGGTATGCAACTACCACACGTGCTGCGTAACACGAGAATGAACCTCATTGGTTCTCGCACGTTATGTGTGAATTGATGAATGTTTATATGTGAATAAAACAAAGTCTAAATTGAATCCGTTCATCATATAAAGCGAACGAGTCTCAATTCATACTGATTAGTTTTACAATCTCTTTATGAACTTTTTGAAGCGTCAAAGTGGTAGTTGTAGCTGTCAATGGAGGGACAGGAAGCTTTAATAAAAAGATCTTCATTTGTGTTCCGAAGATGAATGAAAGTCTTACGGGTTTGGAAATAGCAGCTACATGAGTTTGAGTAATTAATGACAGAATTTTCATTTTTGGGTGAACTAACCCTTTAAGAGATCCATGACATGTAGCCAAATATCCGACTTTTTAAATTAAAAAAATGTAATGGTTATAGAGTCTCATATCTATCGCAAACACCACTAACATTTTCCTTTAATCAAACTGCTACAATACTAGAAGTCAGACTCAGAAAAAACTTTCTGACTACAGACTGCTGAACTCAATTCACCATGTTCTTTTTAACATGTCTTCTCTCCTAATATAACTAGCTGTCATTGCAGGATTATCCTCTCTACTGTTGGCAAATTTACACATAGGCTACCTCTGGGGAAACCTAATGTAGTCAGTCTATTAATACAGCATCTGAGATATTGGTGTTGATTCTGTTCACACAGACTGTGAAAGAAAGGCTGTGAGAGACGCAGATGACATTTAGTTATTTATAAACCAATACAATTTTTGTCCATATAATTTTTTTTCTGGCCTTAAGATTCAAGAAGGCTTAAAACTGTGAAACATTGCTTAAAATATGATTCTTTTAGCTCCTACTGTAGGTTTAGGGGTGACTATGTCCTTCCCATATAATTCCCTAGTGTTGCTTGCTGCACTTCCTCCACCGCCAACACATTTTATAGTTTCCTGTTCTGTCCTCTCAAATTTCGCTGTTTGCAGAAGGACGGCGACCCCTGCTGCTCAAGTTTAGAACTGCATCGTAATGTGCTCAAATAATTCTCAGTGTCAAGATAGTTTTATGCAAGAGCGCGCTCTAGTGGCTACATGTAGGAACTACATAACAGAGTGTAATTATCTAATCATAGGATATATAATACGGTTTTATTGCAAATATTTGTACCATGGTTAATGGAAACATAAATCTGGCTATTAATTAATTATTTACGGAGCTTAAGCACTAAGTTCCCGTACGAACCGAATGGACCAATTTTCTGCGCAAAAATGACTGAAGCCCAGTTTATTTAATTGTGCATGAGTGGCGCGCGCGAATCCCAGTATGCTCTGCGCGCGTTCACCAGCGCCCTACAAAAGTCTGATAAGATTTGCGCGGGTCATTCCTATCGCGACTCTGATGATAAAATGTTCTACCCATTTGAATTCTGTTGTGAATCTACCACTTTAAAACGCCAACATGAGCTAAAACAGCCACATAAACTAAACAGACTGATGAAAACAGGGGGCGGTGGCGGGGCGGGTGACACATCACCACCCACATAAATTAGAAAATTGTAAACTACTTCTGACCACCTTTACTAGAATTTATCACGTTCTATTGTATTTATTGTGGTAAATTTTGTTTAGCTTGTAGTATAATTTATAATAGATTATCTGTTAAGATAATAGATTTTCTGCCAAAAATAGGCTATGTTACAACAGTTGCATGTATAATATAAAATGCATGCAGTTATGTTTTAACCAACTTTGCATGTGGATGATAAAAGACAATTTTGCATAAATAAATAAACAAGTAACAAATAAAACAAACTCAGTACCTGTGTAGTCTATAGTCGCCTATCCTGGAATAATATTTTTGCATTATTAACCTAACATTAAGCAGTAAAGGGTGACTCTTCTTGCATTATATAATGAATTGGAAATCATAGTTTTCTTAAAACCATTGTATCTATTCTGGTATTTATGTTACAGGCAATGTCTGTGTTTGGAATCTGAGAGGTGATGGAGGGTCTGACCCATGTCAGGAATGTAGTAACAGTGTTAACTCATTTAACCCGGCTAAATATGTGCTTGTTTTGTAATTGATCAAGAGTTATATTTTGTAGAAAGAGATTTGCCATGTTTTTTTCCGGCTCTTCTCATGATAGCTGTATGAGAAATGTAAAGACAACGGTGCCTACGGTCATGAAGGTCTATAACACACTACATGTATCCACTTACACATGCATACTTAGCATGTGTAATTCTTTTTAGGGTTCATAGCCCTCACTACAGGGGTTGGAATGAAACTGAAACACTGGCCAATTGGTTTCATGCCTATATGTGTGGTCACTGATTTTACATTCCATCAGTAAGAGCAGATCTAATCTCATATAGGCTATATGAAAAACCTGTGACAAAAGAAGCGATATCACCATCTACAGGGGATATAATGTGCGCGTCACGTTATATCCCCTGTAGATGGTGATATCGCTTCTTTTGTAGCAGAAATAAACTGTTTTTAGAAAACTTTAGGTGCCATGCAAAATGTAAGGAGTAATTGCATTACTCATCACAAATGTTTTGGAGTAAAGAGTATATAGCTTATTCAAGTCAAGTAGAGAGTAGATGCACATACATCTTTGATACTCAGTCAAAATACAGTGTAGCCAAAAAGTTCTAAATTTAATCCAATACTTTACACCGCTGACCTGGCTACTGTTCTGGAAGAGGAATGGCTCAAAATCCTTCTGGCCACAATAAAGGAAGTGTATCTGTCATTCCCAAGACAAATTGATGCTGTATTGGCCGCAAAAGGAGGCTCTACTACACCATTCTAATAAAGTATATGGTCTAAAACCAGGCGTTTCAGCTTCATTGTCCAACCCCATATGTTACACTAGTGAATTATGTGTAGAAGTTTATGTCAGCGCTCAGTGTGGATGTAATTTTCATATTCTGTTCCAGTGAAGTCCTGAGAAAACTCATCCTTGAAGGGCAAAGATATCGCTTATGTTTTATCTAATTGTGCTCACAGGAGTTGTTTATTAATAATAAGAGGCATGTGACCATGCCAAAAGAATAGTCTCCAGGAGAATTCAATGGTGTCCCAGATGAGAAGAGTCCTTCCGGAATTTATGACTTACCTGTGACCCTTACCAAAGTTTCTTACGTGTCAAATATGGTATCTTTTAAAAACCTTATTTGCGTAAAGAACAGAAAATCATGTTTGGATGCTGCTAGAATTATCTGTTAACTATGGAAGTGTGGAGAACTTTGTCTTCAGTTAACTCTCTGTCAACTAATTGAACTTCAACTTTGACTCCTGGTCTTCATTATTGACTCATGGTCAGCATATTATAGTCTTTCTATGTGGTCTAACCGTAATTCCCCTATACAATGTGCAAAAAAACTCAAAACAAAACAGCAGCAACAACAACAAAAAACTCCCCTCCTTAAATGCCAATTCATGTATGCTGAGAATAAAACCAAATACATTAGGAAAATATACATATTTCTGAATAAGCCATTTTTTTTTCTATTTTGTTTTAATGTAAGGTTGATCTGTCATACATGGAGAAAGCAGTGGCACTCTGACAGCTTGAGAAGAATCCCCCAAAAGTGAGACAACTCTCACCTTTGCTCATGGGTATTTCAGACAGGCTGTCAAAAGCCCTTCAATAATGACTATCCAATAACAGATGGTGCATGTAAAATAGATGAACCAAAGATGAATTCGCTCTTTCACTCATTTTCGTTCCGAAGATGAACGAAAGTCTTACGGGGGACAACATGAGTGTGAGTAATTACTGACAGAATTTTCATTTTTGGGTGAACTATCCCTTTAAAGCCTCTGGCACTTACACTATTCATCTCAAGTGCCAACAGAGCACACCGACTCAGTACTGTGCTCGGTCTATCCAACTAATTGATTTTCTTTGAGTGTTTTTTGTGGGTTGCACATGTGCAATTTGAGACCAAATGTTTGGCCAAAATGAATCAATGACAATGAAATTGAGCTGTATGTTGCTTTTCTGCATGCAGGACATTTTAAGTGTAACAGACTCACTCACCACAACCACACACGTAGTAAATACTGTGACCACAGACAATGAGTGAATGTCTTCCTCACAACTGGTAAAGAGGGTGAGAAACCATAGGATGAAATAGTTCACAATGTTTGCATTCTATATGTTGGTATTTCTAACTGTGGTTCCTCTTCACGTGGCGTTCGAGCCAGGCTTTTATTTTAAGGTGACATGTTTTGTGAAACTAACCACACAGACGTGCAGAAGATGTGAAGTTGACAGAAATGTTATAACACGCAAAGCAACTTGAGTCAGATATTTATTTATTTTTTAGATTTATTCAGTTTTAAAATAACTCTGACAAAGAATAAAGAAGAAGGCATATTTTAAAGAACTATTTCACCATAAAAAAGAATTATGCGGCTTATTTATTGGACAGTCGGCATAACTTTTAAAAAAATGTCTCATTTTTGAAAGTACATTCATACAAACTGATGTTGAAAACAAGATATTGAAGACAAAATGGCTATACATCACAAAGAGTAAAAGTGAATTCTTCTCTCAAAGGGAAATCAAAAACAAGAAGTGAAAAGCTTTTTGTTACAAAGCAGGAAGAAGTTTTTGTACAATAAGTAACTAACACTGCATGGCAAAATTTGCAGTATGTCACCATTCAGTCCTCCACAGGCGTTTTTTTCTCTAAATTGAGTTTATGAAGCAATTTACCACTATAACTGAAACTGGCAAAACCTTTCTTTTGTTTTGGAATCTGTTCTCAAGCATATAAGAGCATTCAGGGCGAAAACGTTGTGGTGGTTTCGGTGTCCAGGCCGACAGAAGATCTTCGTTTACCGCAGTGGGTGTACATGAGGTGGCTCTTTTTGAGACATCCCAAGTCTTTCAACAGCTTCAGGAGATCATTGCGAAACTTCACCCCAATGAAGGCGTACAGGAATGGGTTCACACAGCAGCGCAAAAAGGCCACGGCCCTGGTCACATCCATGGCATAAAGACGACTGTTGTCCTTGCCGCAGTCCGTTGTTTCCTGAGTGGTCACTCCCATGACTACATTGTAGGGTAGTTGGCTGAACACAAAGACAGCTACCACTGCAATGATAACCTTGAAGGCTTTATTCCTCTCAAAGTTCTTGGCTTGGACTAGGGTCTTGATGATACAGATGTAACAGAATCCAATGACGATCGCTGGAAGTATAAAACCCAGGACCATCTGACTTACCAGCATCCTAATGCGGTAGTCCTCATAGTTGCTGCCATTTTCTACACAGGTGCCATTGACATTGACTTCAGAGAACACCATGTCAGGTACCGAAAAGATCACCGCCATCACCCATGTAACCAGAGAAGACACCTGTCCATAATAGACCGCACTGGAGCGACAGCGATGAGCAGAGACGGCCTTGGTTATGGAGTAGTAGCGATCTACGCTGATACAGGTGAGAAGGAACATGCCGCTGAAGAAGCTGACCTTGTAGATGGTGAACATGGCCTTGCATGGATACAGACCCAAATGCCACTTGCTCATGAAACTAGCTGCCCAGAAGGGGAGCGAAATTGCAAACAGCAGGTCAGCCATGGCTAGGTTGAGCAGGTAGACGTCAGTCATCGTCTTCAGCCTCTTGAAGTAAAGGAAGGTCAGGATGACCAGAACGTTCCCCACAAGAGCCAGGAGGCAGATGATGGTGTAGATGGTGGGCAGGAACCAGGTGCGGAAGGTACGGTTGAAGCTTTTTTCGCAAAGGAATTCATGTTCACTGTAATCCATCGAATCACTGGTATACTCATATTCTGTTGTGGATTGGTATTCAGTAGTCTCATTGGACCAACTTTTCTGAAATAAAGGTAATGCAGAAGCTTCACAAAAACCTTCCAAGGAATCAGTTACTCAGCATAAGGTGCCATTATAAAATAAATGTGCAACCCCAATAAAGTCTGAAATCTGTAAATGGTTCCTGTTTAGAGCTGAAACGTACAGGTAAATGTACATTAAAAGGTGTTCAGAGAAAGAACTCCATTTAGACCTCCAGACCTCCAGAAGTCTCAGAAATAGTTATCCCAAAATGAAAATTCTGACATCTTGTTCCAAACTCATTAGATTTTCTGGTAATACTTTACAATAAGGTTTCCTTTGTACACATTAGTTAATTAATATTAGTTAATATGAACTAACAATGAAAAATACTTAACAATTATATTATAATAAACTTTATTTTATATAGTAGAATATATTCTCAAAGAGCTGTACACAATACATAAAACAACAACAACAACAACAAAATACGCAAGCATGAAAAAAAGTCTTAATTTGAGCTTTAAAAAAAAGTCTGAGCTTCCCTAAGTTCAAGAGGAAGAGAGTTCCAAAGAAAAAAGCATTTATTAACCTAGTTAATGCTAATTTTAACATGATTTTTTTCCCCACATTTTTCTTTGTTAGTTAACATGAACTAACAATGAAAAATACTTCTAAAGACTTAGAAGAATACTTTTATTAATACATTATTAAAATCAAAATTTGTATCTGTTCATATTTAATGGACCTGAGCTGACATGGACATGTTAACTAACATTAGCAAAGATGATTAAATTCTGTAATAAATGTATTGCACACTGTTAGTAGTATTAACTAATGGAACCTTATTGTAAAGTGTTACAGATTTTCTTTCTTCTGTAGGTCACAAAAGATGTCAGAACGACAGCTTCAGTCACCATTCACTTCCACTCTATGCAAAATGGGTGCATTAAAAGTGAATGGTGACTGATTTTCGTCATTTTGCCTAAAATCTCCTTTTGTGTTCCATGAAAGAATAAAGTGGGCAAATAAATTATGACAGAAATTTCATCTTTGGGTGAACTATCCCTCTGGAATTAGAGGTCAAATTTAAAGGTGAGTGCAGTTTTTCCTGGTTTAATCCATGAAATTACCTTTATGTGACACGACCATATCAGCAACACAGGACAAAAAACTGTCAATGGAAAAAGACTGTGTGTCAGAGCGTACACATAATGATAAACTTCCTTCATAGTAAGGCATGTAGATTAGAAGGGTTAAAGCGAATTCATTAGAGCTACACTAATGGATCACTTCTCTTCTTTGACCACATCCTCTACATTTTTAAAGATTTGCAAAGCTATTTATATATATTTTGACGGTGTAATTGAGCAAATAAATTGATATGCTTACCGGTAAATGCATGCATGATTTCAGATGACTTTCTCTTTGAATGTTTCACCAGGACTGCAAACAACAGTGAACACGAGAGCTCTGTTTCACGCTGTGTTAAAAAGGTGAAGCACCACTTTTAACTCTGAAGCCAAGACCAGAGGAAAGGGTTTTTACCACAGCCTGCACTGTTTCAAGAAAAACAACATCTGTCTTACCTTTGCACAACCATACATAACATCTAATTTAAAATACTTTCCCACTGCTACGTTCACTAAATTAAACCAACCACTAATAATTGAAAACAAAATGTATTATCTATTTGCAGTGTTTTTATATCATCACTGTCTGCTTATAATTTCTGTTTTAAATTCTTAAACACTGCGTCAAAAGGGAATTTTGAAAATATAATAGCCATATTTATCCGGTAAGGTACTGATATAGGCCTACAGTAATGTGAGATGTGGTAAAACTGCTTTTATACAATGTGACTCAACAGAATCTAAATGATGGAATGGCTTTAATGTGATGACCCACCTGTATTATTGCATGGCACATTACAGCCAGGTTACAGCAACACAAAAATATACTGTAAAATGTTCCTGTTAAAAAAAATGACCCAGAATGCAATGCAAATTACGGTATTTTACTGTAATATAGAAATGCATCATTGTACTGTAGATTTTTACTGTACTGTGCTGCTAGATCTACAGCGACATTTAACAGTGCAGAATAGATAGAATTATCCACTAGAAGCTTATTGAATGATAAGAAAGCATGATTTTTGTAAAGTATCACACCACAGCATGCCTTTCTTCTTGACTATTCAAGAGTTCAAAATCCTGAACTAAAGTGTAGGCTATAAACAAGGACAGACTAAAACTGCAACAATTTATTTAGGCTAACATGCTTTTCCCCATGCACTATTCTGTTCTTTGAAGTTCCCTGTCCTCAACCACTTGTTACTACCACCCCCCCTCCCCAAGTTTCAACTTTGCACAGGTAAACGCACACTGCTGCACGTGTGCAGTTGTGGGTTTGTGTGTATTGTTGCCAGGAAGAGAGGCCTAAGCAGGAAGACGTGTTTCGGCCACAACTCAGGTGATTTGCATGGTAAAGGAACTGCTGCACTTCGCTCACACAAACTGTGTGATATAAACCTCAGTTAAACCTCAGTTGGTACGATCACCTGTACACTTACCTGTTTATGCACAAACCATTGGTGTTTTTTTTGGGTGTTTTTTTCATTTATTTAATGACTGATAAGTGACTTAAGTTTGAGCAGAATCTTTAAAAAAAAGACTTTTATGCTAAAAAATAAAGAACGTGTAAATTATTATTTTTTTATCTTACAGAATTCGATGAAACAGAATTTGACCAAATGCATTGGATTAAAAAGAAAATGTAAAATGGTTCTGTTATGTCATGGAAATATATGCAATGTACATTTAAAAAAAGAGAAAAAAATTACAGCTAGGCAAATAAAGGTTACGCACAAAAAATATTTGATAATCCAGGAAAATTTAAAAAGAGAATCTGGGCAAAGGCGAAAGAATTTGTACTGTTTAAACTAAAAGCAGGTCATAGCTATCAAGCTTTGAGTTTCATCAAAAAGAGATCAAAGAGTAAGAGAGAAAAGGAACACACAACCCCCCACCCCAAAATCACAAAGAAAGCAAAAACACAGATGAAAGTTCCTTTTCTCAAACCACTTCGAGTAAAAAAACAAAGTGATGCATGTCGTTAGCCTATATGGAAACTTTGTCAAAGTGCACGCAAGCATGCTTGTGCACTTTAAAACAGTGGCCTATATGACCACTGTAGGACATATCTCTATATATCTGTCGTTATAATTAATAGAGGTTGAGATGAATATTTGACTGTGGTTTTAACGAAAACAGGAAGATGTAACCTATCAAAACCACAAAACATTATCTTATGGTACGTCAAATGGTGCAGGAAATTTAAACCCCACCCGAAGCAACCCGAGATAACATTGCGGATTTCACTTTGCCCAACATGCATAAAGGCAAATAAAGAAGATCAATTTAGTTTTCATTTTTTTAAATATTTTTTTAGCTTATTTTACTAGGCTAGCTATTAAAATATATAGTGATGTTTTATGTGTTTATATTTTTAATTGGTTGGAAATATTCTTGATAGAGAGCAACAGTTGGGTTCCGGAAGTAAAAACTATTCCGTATTATTTCAACTTAGTTTTAAAATAATCGGAATAGTGAAAAACTTAATTACCCATGATGCTGTACTGAAAATTCCACCAATCAGAGATTTGAAACAAGCTAAACGCATCAAAAGAACTCTTTAGCTCTGTCCCACTCCCATGCAGTACCGCTTAGTAATCAAGTCGGTCTCTTTACGCTCTCAAAATAATTATATTTCAATATATATGCATATTTTGCAATAAACTAAAAAATAAATAAATAAAAGAAATATAGGTAACACTTTACAACTAGGTTCATTAGTTAACATTAGTTAATGTATTAACATGAACTATGAGGAATACATTTGTTACTGTATTTTGTTTTGTTAACGTTAGTTGATAAAAATACAGTCATTCATTATTTGTTCATGTTAGATCACAGTGCATTAACTAATATTAACTAATTAACCTCATTGTAAAGTGTTACCTTAACATATAGCCTACTGTATATAATCAACACTTTTTAAAAAGTAGTTTTATATTCCTCCATTGTTCTTAATTCGATTATACTGTTTGCAGTGCTTCATGGGACTGTAGTTCTTTAAAGGCGTAAAGTACAAAGTCTTGTATTTTTGACCGACTTTCATATGAGTAACAGGATTGAAAGGAACAGGATTGAGTTTTTAAGCAAAAAATGATCAAATACATGACATATGGCCACACAACATGCTAATAGCATGGGGACACTGAGCAAATTCTAGTGACTTACCTAAAGTTAATAGTTTTTAAAATAAACAAATAACATCTAAGAAATAATTTACGTAACAGGACATTATGTTGAGATTGACCTTCTCAATCATAGTAACAATTTCATCAAATATACAGAAATTAAAATGAGAGGACTTTTGATCTTCCCATTGCCTTCGGAAGACCCAGAGGATGCAACTTCCTGTAAAAATGTGTCTTGCGGAATGTTTTTTTTAGAGTGGGTATGTGTTCGGGTAACAGGACTGAATGAAAACCCAGGGACACAAATAAATTATGAATTTCATCTAAAATATTAGATCACATTACAGATCTTTCCAGGGTCGCACTTCTAGACTTTTGAATAGTTTTTTATCCAAATGCTATAAAAAATCTGAACTCATGACCATTTGGACTGCACTGGATTTTAAATCAGGACTAGGTTACTTTTCAACCTTCATAATATATTTCCAAGTCTATTGTGATAGTACATCGACTTACAATAGGTTGAATGACACGTCTGCCATAGCCTGACGGGGTCTGTAGCGTTTTTAATCGTACTTTTAAACTTCGGGTTTCGGGTAGTAACCGAAGAACAAAGAGAACTACAAAATTCGACTGCTTTACGGCATATACGTCACTTCCACCACCACTTCCTTAAAATCGGACGTGCGAGCCAAATGTTATAGTCATGGCCGAAGCAGCACAGAAAAACAAGAAAGCAAAGGTTTTATCGGAGAAAAGCAAAAAGAGAAAAAGAGAAAGTGATCGCGTTAAAGGCAGAACGAGGTTCAACATTGGGCCAGCATTTTCTCGCTGACGTGAGCTGAAGGAGGAGGAGGGGTGCCCGACCGATGCGGACTTGGCAAAAAAAATAAAATAATCAAATGAAAGCCTGTGTCTAAACGGCGTGCACAAGTGGGCGCTACATTCTTGCAAGTAAATATATAAGATGTACAAAATCATATTTTAGGATACCTAACATGTCTGTGATATTTGTTTATTTGTCTTGCCTCAAGCTATAATGCAAATCGATTTGTAAAATTTGCAGATTCATTTATCGTAGCTTGATATTATAATATTGACGATGTATGGTTATTATCAACCACTCAAACATTGCATTGAAGTATCATATAGATTCAGTAAAACGGTAACCAATAGACTAGGCTACTATAATGACGCTGGCTTGTAAACGTGATCATCGCGATCATTTGTCGTTAGAAAAAAAATAAAACCCATGAAATTATATTCATATGACATGCTGAAATATATGCCACTGTACCTGGGATGAAGACATTTCACACGCGACGCAAGCAGAACACCTGCATGTGACCTCCTCCTACAGTGTTCAGGGCTATCATGGTTGTCAACAATTGCACGTGCATGTAGGATGACAGAGTTTACGACAGTAGTAGAGGTCTAGAGGACAATACTGTTTCCCAAATGTAGGGGGACCCCACCCCGAGAGCAAAAGTTCCCTGGTGTTACTTTAATGACTATGTTTTTTAAAAATTATCATTATTATGTATTTACTTATGTATTAGTGTTGTCTTGTCATATTATGTGTCACCACCAGAGGATGTGCAATTTAAATTTCGTTGTTATGCAATGACAATAAAGGCAATAATAATAACAAATATTTTTTTCTCATGAAAAAAAACAAACATTTTAAAGCATAGGCCTAGATTGGATATAAAGTCACACACCAATGCAAAAAAAAAAAAAAAGATTTCTGAAGGATATTATATTTATGCATTTGGCAGACGCTTTTATACAGAGCAACTTACATTGCATTTTCAAGGTACACATTTTACATTCTTATCAGTTTTTTGCTTTCCCTGGGAAACAAACCCATGACATTGGCGTTGCAAGCACCAACATTCTACTGTTTGAGCTACAGGAAAGCTTTTAAGATTTTAATCATTATATTTCATGGTAAAGTATAGAGATAGAGATTGGGGACATGCAACAAATGCTTTTTTTAGTGGTTCTTTTTTGTTGTTTTTTTAGTGTTATTTGTTTTTACTTATAAATTTTCAATTTGCAGTTAGCCTAATGTGCGGGACACTTCTTTAATAATAATGAATAATAACATTTATTTAGGAGTTAATTTTCATGCATTTTATACATATAATGTCCTGGGGACAGAAATGTCACCCATTAGGTGTAATGTTATGATTGACCTTGGTTCATAGCTTATAACGCTTTAACAAAGACTTTTTAAAAATCTCTATGTGAGAAATGGATGAAAAATGATATATTTCTATAGAACCAACGTCGCTGATAGAATTCCAGTATTATTTGTGACATGAGGCATCGCTTGCATTGCTGCTCTAGTGGTTTAGCCAGCCCTGGTATCTTATCGAAAGTAAATTAAAGTGAAATCCTTTTTTACACATAAAACATAGGCTACATTTTAATCAGAAGAATAGCCAAGAGATGCAAAATAAACAATGTTGCATCGTGAGCACAAATCTTTTCTACGTTCATTTAGGAAAAAAGTGTTAATGCAATACACATTTTGTTCTTACTTATTCAATGAACGTCTTCTGTGAAATATAGTAGATTCCTGACTTTGTGTTCGCACAATAGCAAGAAATGGAACTGCTTGATACTTTAAGTGACTTCAGACCTGTACAGCTATTCAAACTGCTGTTTACAGGAAGCCAGTCTTAGTCTTGTCTGTAGAGTTACATATGACCTGTTTCCCTCACCGTTTTGTACCTCTTATAATGAATTGTTTATGCATGGATATAGTTGTAAAATTCCCCTCAAGACATATTTAGTTCGAACACTGCTGAGAAATGTCTTAGTCATGTCTTTTGCTTAATAACGAATGTGAAAACATAGACTTTTTACCCATGAAACTCCCACTCAAAGTTTCCACTTGATTGTTTTAGGAAATTGAAATTGCATGGGAAACCAAAATTCGCAGACCTGCCAGACATTGACATCAAACCTAAAAGCTTTTCATGAATTCATCTATTCTCCAAACTGTGTATCCTAGGGTCGCCAGGATGCGGGAGCCTGTTCCAGCGTGTCGGGCCACAGTCGGGGGATGCCCCGGAAAGATGGCCAGTGACAAGCTTTTCAACATCCCCATATTATTAAGTATGTCCTTTAAAGAATTCTAAGAAATTAAGAAGTACAATTCTAAAACACACTTCGGACTAGCAAAAAAAGAAATGCAGTTCAGGAATGCAGAAGTCTTGAAATTCTAGTCCACAATGTTTTGCTCAGACAGTAAATTTAGTTCAATTTAGTTATCTTTTCAGTGAGATGATGTGCAACATGGTATTACTGAAAGCAACAATACAGCCATTTGAAGAGTAGAAATTGGATATCTGATAAGATTGTGGTTGAGCACACATTTTTACAACTAAGAAATCATTCTGGGTTTGAACAAGAATGACTTAGACCACATTTCAAACAGATCAGTTCAATCACAGTGTTCTGTAATGTAAATTGGCTGTTAACCGTGCCATTCCCCTTCGATTTTCCTTTTCCTTTTATATTGTCCCAAAAAGTTTTTAAGGAGTTTTTAAGGTGTGGAATTCACATTATATATCAGTCAGGTTGGAAAGCATCCAACTAAACCTATACCCATCACAGAAAACTTATGTTTACATAAAAAAGGTAACACTTTACAAAAAGGTTCATTAGTTAACTTTATTAATAATAGTTAATAAAAATACAGCTGTTCATTATTTGTTCATGTTCACAGTGCATCAACTAATGTTAACAAATATAACCTTTGATTTTAATAACGTATTAGTAAATGTTGAAATTAATATTAACTAAGATTAATAAATGCTGAAGAAGTATTGTTCATTTATAGTTCATGTTAACTAAGGTAGTTAACTAATGTTAATGAACCTTATTTTAAAGTGTTACCAAAATAATAATAAAACATCACTTGATTTATAAGCTGTTTTCCTCATGGGGACCAAAAAAAAAAAATGTCCCAACGACAAGGACATCTTGTACATATAAAAGTTTTCATTCATCTTTTATTAGAGTTCAAGATAATTTTATACAAACTATAAATGTCAAAAGAACTTGATGGATTACAGATCATGACAACAGGCAATTATGTGGATGAGAGATAATTATATTTAAAGATGTTTTTCTTTTGTATTTGAGGATGGTTGTCAATATCTAATCCCACACTTACTGTATACATATATAAAGCAAAAAGAAACCGATACCACATTTATCCATTCACATTTATGACTCTCGTCTACAAAATAGACTACAACTTCTTAAAACAGCATGCACTTGAAATAAGGAAGATACATAACGTATAGAGTAGTATTGTGGCAGGATGTTTGGAAAATGTGGTTACTGCAATGTTCTGCTGTCCTGTCCTGTTTTTGTTTTTTAAATACAAGCAGTTATTAGACTGCTCTCTGTTTTTCTCCAAAACATGATGCAAAGATCCTACTAAATCTTTTTTGTCATTCTTAAAAAACATTCTTCAGATTTAATAACAGTAAATTCAGCTCTTTTAATTCTATTGGTATGCTGTCAGACAGTTTTAGTCAATAACATTGAATTCAGACACTAGTTCTCTTACTGAAGTGATGAATTATGTAATTATTTAGCAGTTGTGATAACCATTGATTAACTGTGTCTAGAGGTTGCTCAGGGTCACTTACTTGGAGAACCCGAAATCATTCCTGTTGATAGAACATGGTTTTAAAGGCAGACTGTCGGTACTGAAATCCAGTGACATGTTCACTACTAGACAAACCCAGGTCCATCTCTGGAAGTGGCCAGAGAGGAAGCCACTGAACAATCTCGAATTTATGGATGAGGTGAACTGTGTCGATAAGAACACCACCACTCGCTAATGCTAATTTAGCCACCATTGCTGACCATGCTGGCTGAAATATCCCCGCTTACATCCAAGCCTAGCTTTTGCAGGTCCAAGCCCATACTGGCCAGCACCTGGAGCAGAGTCATCTCCTGTTGTGTGGCCTGGTCAATCAGGGCTGGACAAGTTGGATTGCACTGTGGCCACTGACAGTTATCGATGAGATGGAAGGGACAGCCCTTCAGAGCGGTTTTGCTGTTTTTATTGGCCTCCTGAAGACTTTTGTCCCAGCACTGCAGAGCACGGGAAAGTGACGTCCCCTTGACCTGGAAATCCATCCAATTACTGAAAGAGAAAAAATCAGAAAGGAAAAATTGGCCCAGGTTTTTTTTTTTTTTAATGTGTTTTTCATAACTGCTTGAACAGCACAGACTACGTAGAGTCTGATCTTTTCCTAGATACAGGTCTGTTTTGTATGCGACCTCAGTCTGAACAGTCATATCAGAATTAGTGTGACTTTAACGTCACTGTCTAGATAGTCACAATTCTGCCAAAAGACAAAAGCCTTCCATGGCTTATAAATAACTTTCATTTCCAAATAATAACTTTCAGGTTCAAATAATAATGAATGTGTTCATCAGGTGTTGATTAGATATGCAATGTTGCAATGTTGAGAAAACAGAAGTGATATGATTTCTGTAAATGCAGTGATGAAAAGCTGTGTCTCAGTTTTCAGTGATCGGTTTATGACTAGTGGAGGGTCTGTGTGTGTAATTCAACAAACCTGGAAGACCTTCTGAGCGTATACCAGCAGTAGGCTTATTTAGAAAGGAACATTTAAAAGATAAAAAAAGAAGCAGTAGGGAGAATCACTGAATTATGAATATTTGACTGCCATTGTGAGAATGACATGTAATCATGTAATCAATAAAAAAGTGACTGTACTTTGAATATGAGTACTTTAAAACGTAATATAATCTAATTAAGTACTTAATTTTTGGAATCTGATCACGCAATCCAAACAAAACATTTTTATCTTTGTAACTTTAATTGGGTTAATGTTAACCAGCTAGGCATTGTTTTAGCAAACAGCAATATGGGTCTGAAATGGAACGCTTTTCACAATCCAATCAATTCCCAATAAATAAAAAATACAGTCCTGCCCTACATTTATTAATTAATAATGCTGTTTGATTAGGAAATAAGTCACATTATAGAAGTGCTTATGTCAAGCACTATGTCAAGTGCTTAAGTGTGGAAAGAGTGCATTCCCAATGCCATTTTTAGTGTACCAATATATTGTACTATTTAATTAATAATAATATGAATATGAATTATATATTAAATAAATTATAACTATTATATTAATTGTATTAATAATAATCTATATATTTTTAAGTCATCCTGCAGCCCCCTTGGAAGCTTGCCCTTTAAGTGCACTTTAAGTTGCTTTAGACGAAAGTTTGAACTAATTGGGAATTTAATGTCCCCTCAGTCTAACCAGTCTCTTTATAAGCAGCTTGTGTTTCGCCATATAGTTTCACGGTTCACCTCACAAATCATCTGTCCCGCTGCTCTCTCAGCTGAGCTCATAGAGGGAGCCATTAATTAAGTGTGAAACCATGAGGTGGCATTTTGGTGACACCTAGAATGCATCATGATGGACGAGTGTTCAAATGCAGGCTGTGAGCTCACCCATGAGGACTCAGTGTGCCTGCGTGTCCTTACCTTTTGGTTATCAAAGTGTGGGAAAGACAGGAGGGTGCGAACACGGCCCTAAAACAACATACAGCAGGACATTTTAGCACACACAAGATATAAAACCTAGAGCAAAACACAGATTCATCATGTTTGCATCCTAATATGAAGAGTAATTAATCACATTTTATAAGGTTACACTGCACATTACTTTTGATGACATGATTTTGACGTGATTATTCAGATATTAGTAACTTAATACATTATGAAAGTAATGTACAACTCACGTAACATCTTTGAAGGAGTTTTTTAGCTCTTTTCCCAGGTTCTGCATGTAGGTCCACTGCTGCTCTGAGAGTGACTGGCCACCCATGTAAATGTTCTCCACTCGTAACTGTTCCTCGTCGAACAACCACTGCACCACAAATAGCGGAGCTACAAAGGGACACATCCTTATTTTAAAGGAAGTAATTCTTATTAGCATTAGTCACTTCTGTGAGAATGTTTTCATTCATATCGCACAGACAGCACACCCTCACCGGTTATGTAGGAGTGCAGTTTGTGTCCAAAGAAGCATTGCCAATCCTCGCCTCTTTTATACTGTTGCTTGCACTTTTCTGGAACAACACCACTCCACAAACTAACAGAGATATTAAATCATCAGAAAATAACAATATGTGCGCGAGTTATGCCCTGAAGTCTAATTCAAATGCCTAATCCTGAAACAGTATAGTTGCACAGTATGAGCAACAAAAAAAGTGCACTTAATTGTGCACTTGTAGTGTAATTCAAATCTTACATTTTTTTTGTACTTGCAGGTAATATTAAATCATATATATTACAGTTTTTCTCAATCGCTTTGGCTTTTTTGACTTTTTTCCCCTCAAAAGTTCAGATCTCTCAATAATTAGTTTCTTGTTCATGTCAGATTTGAATTTCTTATTGATTTAAGCAAATTGCATGTGTTTTGGCACATGTGTTTGAAACAACAATACAATTGTCTACAATTTGCACAATGACTAAGTGTTGATCAAAACTGATGAGTTGATTCTGAGTGGAATTGTCAAACTCTTCACAACTTCTAAACATTCTTTCATCATGTGAGCCATCACATGCAAAATGATCCATTCAGTGTTCAAAATCTGTCAGACATGTTATATTATGATATAAGATCAATTATTTTGATATAGAATGTTTGTAATGTTTGCTAAAGATTGTTTTTTGTACTGAAATAGGAATATATGTACGGAGTTTGATGACAACACAATCAGCACCATTTTTGAACCAGGACAGGAGGAACATCACAACTCTGAGCAGCAGCGGCGGTAGAAATTTGTTACATGTAAACTGAATATTCTTGTCATTGAAGAGCAATGGGAAGATATCTATGAATATATGTATGTGTTAGAGAAAGACATGTAAAAATGTCTTAGCAACTAAGAATTTTCAGCTTACATGTAACACATTTCTGCAAAAATAAATGTACTGTATAAATACAAATGTTCATTTTCTTTTTGTGTACTACAGTATTGACTTTTCCCAGTCAATTTTTACCCACTGTCTGTATCTGTATTTAAAATACTCAGTGTGATACACAGACAAAACAAAGCAGTTAGTGTTATTAAAAAAGTAGACAAAATAACCCATAAAATTTGTATTTATCAAATATTTAAAACGTCTAAAGATTTTGACCCAGTGTTTTAGGTGAGTTATTACGCTTTGCAGACATGAAATGGAGTTGTGATGTTCCAGCAAACAGTTAAAGCTCACTTAAGTGTACATGACTTTCAACACACTTAAGTACACTTTGTAATATGCCAAATTAAAAGTTTTACTTTGACAATAGTTGCTTATAAGTACATTCAGCAGTGCACCATATTTCAAAGACAATAGAAGCTAACACACTTTACTTGTTACACATTTTTTACATGTAGTTACTTACTGTAGTATTAACTATAAATTATGCATTATTACATGCAACTAACCCTAAACCAACCAACCCTAGTACATGCAGTTAATTATTATTACTCAGTACTTAAATTTATAATTACACTGTAACACAGAGACCTTAAAATAAAGCATTATTCAGTTCACTCTCAAGTATTTGTGTAATAAACTGTAAAATAAAATGTTACCAAAACCCCATAGCTTGAGTGTATACTTTACCGAAGTCCTTTTTTTATGGCATCTACAGGGGTGCAGGAAGCACTGTCTGGACAGTCAGGAACTTTTTGCTGTTTGCTTTCCAGAAACCAGCCTGAGTCGACAAGGCCGCGCACCTGAGCATCTGCACCCAGCTGCTCCAGAAGACCGGACACCTTATCAATGTTCAGCAGCACACCTGTTCCACCGGCACTGCAGGACAGAATAATCCCAAAATATTACCTCAGCCCCCAAAATCTAGTTTGTCAAACCAATGAACTACAGATATCGCTTTGAATATGAAATGGCTTTAACAAATGCTTTGGGAAAACCAACAAAGCATGTTGCTAACCTTGGAAGAATCTTGCATGGCAGGACACATATATAGATATTATGTCATTGTCTATAGCATTACAGGCTGCAGTTAAAAATGTAATGGTAGACAACAGGATGTGCTGAAAATAGTGCTTCGGTCAGTGTATGGAGGTGGTCTTGTGGTAAAACTCAAGGGGTGGTCCATGGACGAGAATAGGATTTCATGGTAATCCAGATGGCTCTGTTTCAATTGTTCATAGCATCTTGTTATTAGATCTCAATATGCAGCAACAGGTGTAATGGTTGCTAGTGTTCTCTGTTTATAAGTGAATTCAAATCCAATTATGGGAATTATAATAGTTATAGTTCTTTGTGGAAATAAATTGCAGAACATCCACAAATATAATTGTCTGAGCAATAATAGTAATATAGTTAACCTCTAATCCCTTTTTCGAGGCCAATGCAGAAAGCTCACTGTATTTCGGGATCAATACTATTAATGAATCTATCTTTTACTATAAATCCTTTCCTTAATTTGAGGAACATACAGATACAAATCAATGTCGTGAATGTCATTTTCAAACAAGAGTTTGGTTACATAGCCAGTGAGATCTCACCTCGTTCCTGCCAACATCACAACTTTGGCTTGTTTCAGTCCTTTTGGGGCAAGATCTTTGATCACCTCCCGAATGATTTGAGATCCCATGAAAGCATATTCTAGGGCGGAATAAAGAAATAGAGCATCCTAATTTTGGTAACAAAAATGGTAATGGTCAGACCAAATGTATCGCTGACATATGTACCTGTTTCTTTTCCCTGTTTGGATTTTGATGCTACTTTGTTACCACTCCACACATCACTTGAACAGTAGGGAACAAACCTAGTTACATAAGATACATCAGATAAGATACATAAGTCAGTTAGATGTTAATTATAGGTGATATAAATCTCACTCTTGAATTTCTCAGAAACTTACACAATATTGGCATTATACCAGTGAGGATTTTCATCAGCTTGTGTTGATAGCAAACCACTCCCTGCAAATAATTGTTTTCATTAAGAATCACTGAAGTATGGCTTTCTAGCAGATGTGTGTCTGGTTAATATCAGCCTATACCTTTGCGTGTCTGAGGCCAGTCAGTCGAGCTCATAAGTCGGGGGATAGCTTTGTATCTAGAATCGCAGGTCTCTTTGTTGTAGCAGCACCAGCCACCTAAATATGATTAATTGGAATTAACCTCACATTAGCCATCGTTTGTGCAGACTTCAAAAGTTTAGACAGTTTGAATATTGGCACAAATTTGCTGTATTTAACTTGTGATTCCTCCCTTCTGGTAAAAAGAAAAACTTGCGGTAGAGAGGATACAGATTTAATCAACCATAGTACTAAATAATATTAGTCTACTATATTATTTGAACAAAAACAGTCCAATTAATCAGCCTGTTAGAACAGTTACGGCTTATTGTTGTTACAATTACGTGTTTAGTAAGTTTATTAGTCCCTCCCCCTCTATTTAAAGTCACTTCCTCTTGTTGAGAGACGTTGCATTATTTATGTGCTCTCGCCTTGTTCTCCTTCTTGTATTGTTTAATTTTGACTTGGCTAATTCAACATTGCATGTTACTTTTCTTGTCCAGTGAAACTATATATCTTCTCGACACACCGGTGAACCAGCGTGATGTGACGTGCTCCGAAAAAGCAAGAAAAATGACATGTCTAAGAAGATGACCAGCAGTCAAAATAACGCAGAGCACCGCATTTAAGCCCGCTGACCTCTCTCGACAAAATTAACTTTGTTTAAAATACTTACCTTCCAAAAATATCAGCCATCTCTTACTTCCTTTGAACTCCTTTAGGTAAAACCTGTGGGGCACAAATAAATATAGATGGTATGGGGAACATATGAGGACCATATGAGGACATTTTCAAAACGGTCAAAGGACCAATATTTAATGTGACGTCACCACACTGCTACAATTTTGTAGCTAATGGTCTTACAGGTCATTAACATGACACATACAGTTTAATGCAGTACAAAACTGAAAATTGCCAAGTTTATTAAATGCACCTCTGGCTAGCAGTGAAGATAGGATTGCTGTGTCTTACCCAGCGGCAGTACCGTCGTTGCATGTCACTAATGTGTTTTTAAGAAAGTACAGCTTCATTTCATCAACAGGCTTGTTGACAGATGCGCTTTGTTGGGTGGTGCCGCGACCTCCGGGATTCGTTTCTTTACTGGAATCGGCAGCACCTGCCAGCCCAGGGTTTGGGTCATCTTCAGGGCCATGCTGGGTTGCCTCTACAGCTTGGCTGTTAGGCTTCTTTGCAGGTTTTCCACCCGGCTTGACATTGCGATTGTTGTTCTGGCAAGAAATGACTCCCAGCAGAAGCAGGAACATAACATGACACAGAATATTCATATTAAATCCGACAGGACCTCCCTAAAAAAGGCCAAACAGAACAGTCCGCATGAAACGATTTATAGCAACATCTTCATTTTTATGAAAGACACTGCTTTTAATTCATTTAATGACTTAATCTGCCACCACCAATGAAATTACAAGTGCTCAACCTTATGGCCACAATCTTAAAATGAACACTCACCCCTTTAAGCAACTGGTCCTGGTCCCCTTGGCGTCTTGGAAGGCTAAAATCCTCAGGCGCTGCGGGAAATGTGGTTTTTGAATTGATGCTGTGCTGGCGTCCTGAACAGATCCTTGTCTTTGGTTGTGGTCTGTGCTAGATTTTATAGTGCCACCATATGGGCAGCATTTCTCAACATCCCCTTTGAGCTGGTGCCAGCTCTGGGCTGCAACCAATGACACACCAAACCTGGACGTCTAATGGCGAGGAGAAAAGATAACATGCGCTCTCCCAACCATATTTCAAAGACTTCCCCTCCCCACCTAACTTAGTCTCACAACAAGCCCTCCCGCCCTCCCCTCGACTTTGATTTAAACACCTACATGGTTGAAATACCTGCATAACCCAGCAGCTACATGGCATGTGGCTCTAGGTCATTGGAGCAGACCTATCCCATGCTCACTCTAATATGGAGAAACTCTTCACTCACTCCTAATAATCCTTTGAGTGTCTCTTCTGAAAATGTGAACTCTCAAATTAAAGAAAGAGATGTTTGTAAAATGGCAGTGAACTGTGCACAGATTTACAAAGTATCTGCTGATTTCTATGCCAGGGTTAAAGTGTGACCTTCACATTAAGCTGCAGATGATACTGATGCTGTCATTATCCACTCTGCTTATCTATCATGGTAAAATTGATATGTAAATGAATGATGTTATGGAAAGTTTGTTACATCTTCGGGAAGGGAAACCTTTTTATCTTTGCATCTGACCAACTGAAGCATTATACTTCCATCGAAATAACAAGCACTGTCCCTTGCTTGAAAAAGGTCTCTTTATTAGACTGTGACATGAGAATTTTCTACAAATATTGTGGTAATCAATTGTCAATCCAGTTTTATCCAGAAATCGCTGGGTATAACTTAAAAAAAGATTGGTATACTCAAGAATCAATAAAAGGTAAAAGGAATATTATTATAGTATTATAAATTTACAATAAAACCAACAACAAAATCCTACTAATACATATCTACACTGTAAAAAATTATATGATCAATCAGTTATGACAACACATGTTTTTATATTGCTTTAACTCATCAAAATAATTTTCAACTTTTTAAAAATAAGTTATACAAGATTCAACTAATTTTTAAAGTCAGTTTAATGTCATTTAAGTTGAAATTACTTCAACATCCAAGTTGATTGTACTTAAAAATAAGGCAGCAACTTATTTTTTTACAATGACAATGAAAAAAGTTATTTAGAAACTAACCAACTTTCTAATATAATATATGATATGATATGATATAATATAATATAATAAAATATTATATTATGATTGCTTAACCTGGACTTCTCGTATAGGCACAGTTTTAGACTCAAGATGTTTTACCTTTCATTGTGTTGTAAGACCTGAAGTCTTTAAAGTGTTGCCAGAAATGCTTCAGATATGTGAAAATATTTAGACAAAAATGTCTAAACAGCTAATCAAATGACATTTCTGAATTTGATCTACTGAGCTTAAAACATTCTTCATTCTTTCTGTATTTAGAAGCACGCACAGCGCTCCTGTCTTCCCAAAATTCACTGCAACAATCTGCGAAGCAGACCTCAAAATGCAGAAAAACAGAGAAAAAAAAGGTGTAAATCCTTCACCTGCTTTTTCCAATACAAGCCAGAATGTTTTGAAAAAAGCTTTTAGATGGCATTGCTTTGTCTTTTTTTGTCTTTGATATCTGCTTCAATAGATTTTTGCAGAAGCTGGCTAGATGCTGCAGATAGTTAGACTTTGTCTGTGGGTCTGAACCCGAAGCAACTCAGTGGCTTTTGACCAGAAATGACACGAAGAGGAACAGATGATCATGATGTCTGATTTTCGTTAAAAAGGAAACCAATTCCATATCACTGCATAATCAAGTGTCCAAGCCATTGGCCAGCAAAGAACTAGAACTCAGTTTTGTTTGGAATGTACAGCCAAGGTCAGTTCCTGACATTAAGCACTTGAGTGGTCCGAGCACTTTGTCTGTGTCCGTGTGTGTCAACACTGCATTTGAAGGCAGGCGAGTGCATTTCTCAGCTGACAGGCATCAAAGCATGCCGCGCCTCAGAGAACTGTATAGATCTGATTTTCAGAGCAGAGTAATGTGTAAAGGTCGTGATCCAAAGGGATCACATCATCTAAACACCTAAGCTGAATGCTTGCGATTTGCACACCAGGCAGTTGTTCGGCGTGTTCAGTGCATGTAGATCCAAATTCATCTAGAGCTATAGGTTGAATTGAACCATGATGTATGGGATCATTTGAAAATCTTAGATAGTTTTGACTGTCAGCAGTGCTCAAGTGCATTTTATGAGAGAGAAATATATATGCAAAGGTGCAGGTGACTTGCACGCTCACAATGTAAGCCCCAAGAGGAGTGATGATTTTCGCTGAGAACAGTTCTGTGATTATGGCTGTTTGTCATCAGCACTGACATCTCAGGCTTTGCTGGATTGGTGCAAAGTGTGAGACGCCCACTAAAGTGCTGAAGCAGGCGTTATGGTAGATGACATGTTAACCTTCTGTAAGCAGTCAATGGGATTGATGGCCTTGGCAGGCTCCATGATGTAATAGCCATAGAAAACAAGTGGCATGATTTGAATTTCGAGATTGCACAGCAAGAGTGCAACTCAAAAGTCACTTTCATAATGCAAGAGCTTCATCGCATCGTTCCACACCCAACTGAGGTGTATTAGAATGTCGCAGGTGTGTAGTATTAAATGGCTGAACATACTATACCTGTTATGGTGCATTGTTGATGCACTAACCACTGTGAAAACAATTTACTTGTGTGTTGCTGAACAATTAAGCAATAAACGTTTTTCCACACAATGTGTGATGACTCAATTTTTTTTACCTTGATATACATCATAAATCTAGTTGCTCAATACATATTTTAAAATATTTTGGGTAACACTTTATTTTAAGGTGACGTAGTTACAAGATACTATGTGTACTTACTGTAGTAATAACAGTAATTTATAAATAATTACAAGTAACTAACCATAAACCAAACCTAACTCTATAGTAAGTACATGTTAAATAGTATTTTTCAGTACTTATTTGAGTAAGTACAATGTAACTACGTCATCTTAAAATAAAGTGTAACCATATTTTTGTGTACATTTTTAACTCTACGCTGTACACTTTGATTTATACAGTATAACCCAGGCATTACATTAAAAACAATAATTAACACTGATGCAATGGAGTTTTTAATAAGCTGCCAAGGGATGTTACCTACTGTATATCTCTCTTCTGACTATACAGTAATCCATCTATCTCCATCTATTTTTTAGATAGTCATTTAAATGCAATACTGTATTTTATATTTTGCTGCTGGAGCAAATGGGAACGCAAAAAGTAATATTTGCTGTGGTCTCCCATGTACTGCACCTGTAAATGGTGACCTCATGTCATGTCGGAGTAACAAAAGTTACGAAATTTCCTTAAAACGCAATCAAAAGTTTGCCTTTCTATCGTTTACTTCCACGTTTCAAACCTGAAAGTGCAAAAAGGGTCTATTTACACATGTGTTCTGGAACAATTAAGCAGTAACTGAGATATGTCTTATTACGGGAGATACCAACCTCCACGGCTCTAACATTGGAGAAAGCTTAACGTTCAACTTGGATCATGTGTGCCTTGATAACCAATCACATCGTAGCCTTGACGTCATTGAATTGCTTTATATGATGAACAGATTGAATTTAGGCTTTTATTCACATATAAATATTCATCAACTCAGACATCGGTTGTGGTAAACAGAAGCTCAAGCATGAGGTTCATTCTCGTGTTACGCAGCACGTTTGAGCTTCAGTAGGAACTAATGAGGTTCATTCTCGTGTGTTACGCAGCACGTTTGAGCTTCAGCAAGGACCAGTGAGGTTCATTCTCGTGTTATGCAGAATGTTTGAGCTTCAGTAGGAACTAATGAGGTTCATTCTCGTGTGTTACGCAGCACGTTTGAGCTTCAGAAGGAACCAGTGAGGTTCATTCTAGTGTTACACAGCGCGTTTGAGCTTCCGCAAGAAACAATGAGGTTTGTTCTAGCATGTCAAGCAGGTTCGGTTGAACTTCTGTATTATGTTTGCTGATTAAACTAAACAGCTTAATTCATATTGATTAGCTTTACAATCTCTTTATGAACTTTTTAAAGCATCAAAGTGGTAGTTGCGTAGCTGTCAATGGAGGGAGAGAAAGCTCTTAGATTTAATAAAATAGATCTTCATTTGTTTTCCAAAGATTGACGAAAGTCTTACGTGTTTGGAAAGACATGAGGGTGAGTAATTCATGACAGAATTTTCATTTTTGGGTGAACTATCCCAAGGGGGCAACTTACACTGACCGTCTGGAAGTCACTGACTGACTGTCTATCCCATTGTTTATGGACTGTATATCAACACTGCTGTTTTACATGTCAGCCGGGATTTTTTTTAATACTTTTTACAAGGGCAGTTGCCATTGAGTTTCCTAGGTTGAAGTGCTTTGTTCAAGAGTTTTACCCCCTACATCACATTTTTTTTTTACAAAACATCTGAATCCTGAGTACTATTGGGATTCGTCTGTAAGTGTTTGTTAGAGTCCACTAGTTGGGTCATGTGGGGCCTTATCAAATGCTTGGGCAAATAGCTTGAAGAGCCAGCACAAACTCATGACAGTGCTGAGCAGCAGAATGGCCTTGAAGTCATGCTGGTGAAGCCACACTCCTGTCAAAGCCATTGATTAATGTTCCCTGGGGTCACGCCACCCTCTGGGACCTCACATAAGCTGGCCCATCTGATCCGAAATGCAGCCGTTGGAGGTGCCAACACAACTGTAGGCTCCTCAAACAATGTCATGACTTACAAAGACAAACATCTATACATTCATACATATGCTCACCTGTTATGCGCTAATGTTTCATTCCATATAGAGGCATAAAGAGTGATCTTATTCATGTACAAGACAACCATTTTAAGACGCTCACATGGGCAATTCTTCAAAATATCTGCATCTGCGTTCTGAAAAGGTAAAAACGTCATACAGTTTTGGAAACGACATGAGGGTGAGTAAATAATGACAGCATTTTGTTTATGTGATAAACCAGAGACAGTATTAGGAGGAAGAGACATTAGTTTGAATTACCACATAACAGCAGACTAGGGTTTACAGTACAAACACACTTTCATCTTATGTATAAAAATACCTGACAGAGAGATATGAGCTAGAGAGGGTGTTCAACATTATAGTCAGGTATTTATTGGATGCTTCAGATGTTGCCAAGAAACAAAATGATGTGCATCCGAAAGTTTTCATGGTTTGTGTGGATTTATATTACCATTGTACTCAAAATTTACAGCAACAATTTTTCACAGATACAGGAGCCATAATGTTTTGAATTTTTTAAGTCTGTTTTTGATGCCGATTTCCTCAAAATAAAAGTGGATTCCTCTGAGAGGTGAGTTTAGGCGAAACAGTTCTTTCTCAGACACACAACACAGGATCCAAAACACACCGTCACATCACATTATTATTAATGCATAATTATCAGTCAGTCTTTATGAATGACGTATATGTGTCCTGATGTATGTTTCTTCATAAACAAATTAAAGTATTTTAATTTGACAAATTTAAAAACAAATTATAAAGTATTTA